TAAAGAATTAATCTTATTTTTTAAAAGAATTTTGTTTTAAGTTTGAATTTGTGAATCTTGAATATTGGAACTAGAAATTAGTCCATGGAAGGTTAGAAAAACGCAGAGAGGTAATGGATTTCAGAATTTGGAACATTATACATAGAGATCAAGAAACCAAAGTGCCGAAGTTTTGGTTGCTACATGAATTCATGTCTCTCCCGAGTAAAGGAATTAAACAATTTAATTTCTTTAAGAAATAAATGAATTGGAGCCCTCACGATCGCGATGTTTTTGCCTATTTATATGTGTTTATGATGCAGCATGCAGACCATACTTACAAGATACAGCAAGAGTACGAACTCTTCACAGGTTTCTACACCGGAAATGAAGCCGGAGGTATTCTACTCTCTGTTTGCCTAATTTTGGCCTATCTTGGCCTGCTTCCTTACCCGACTTTGTTTTGCCACCTTTCTTTCTCTCTCAGCACAAACCCAATGATATTAAAGCCCACAGTATCTTTGCTACACGCACGCACGTTTGTGCTAACACAATCCACTTGTAAATTACGTCCTTCAAATATGTAATTATATAAGACAGTAATTGAGCGAATTCAACCTTGTGAATCTGTAGTTCCAATTAGTTACAGAAGCTACATATCTTTGAAATTGGATGAATTTGACAAAGAGATATTTTGCAAGGCTAATATGCTGACCTCTATTCATTTTACCAGTAACTTTATTAACAAAATGCATACCTTAGTTTAAAGTAATTGGTTTTTGGTCCATGTTTGTTGAGCGGTTAATGTTGTTTAATACAATTTATCAAATGTGTTGAGTTTTCTCTTAATTTCTCTTAAGTTTTACCAGAAGCAGGACTCACAGGAAATGCATTTTCTCAAGAAGGAGATAGAAAAGCTGCAAATGAAGCATTTGTACGATTTCCTTTAGTTATCTCAATATCAATCACTAATAGCATGTTCTGTTGGGAGGATTAGATAGCACGGAATATAACTAAGAAAAAGTTAAAATATTGTTTAAGTGCTATCCAATACTCATACCAAACATGCACTATATGTTTAGGAAATCTGAATTTTCATTATATCTATTGCTTGTGTTGTTTAGGCGATTGTTGGGTAAAGACCTTACTGACATAGGATTACAAGAATTGGGAGAGCTAGAACAGCAACTAAATGAAGGGCTCTTGAGCATAAAGGAGAGAAAGGTTAGGCATTTATCATTTTCTGTTTTCACGTATATTAGCTTTCACCAAGCAAAATCTCCAATTCTGTATTTAGACTGCAATATATGTCTTGAGTTCTGAAGATATTTTGGCTCCATAACAGAGTGTTCTATATTTTCAGGAACAAATATTGAAGGAGCAACTTGCACAATCAAGACTGCAGGTAAAACCCAAAGTCCATGTATCTCCTCTTTTTCACCGGTGGATAAGAGTGAAACTATAAATTAATAGGGCGAGAAAACTCATTTAATGTTATGGAATTCATAGCCACGACAATTCCTCCTGCAAATTTTAGACATCTTTTCCTTTGTAAGCAGTTTCTTTCCTACGCAGGAACAACGAGCCATGCTGGAGAATGAGACTTTACGCAAACAGGCAAACCGAGTTTTTGTTTACGCAGATGAATAATTCCAATAGCTTGCTCTTTTGTTTATGAATTTTGCCTGAGACTATTACTTTGGCTTAACATTAAATGTAGGTTGAAGACCTTCGGGGCTTCTTTTCATCCACCAGTCCTAGTCAGCCACTTTCAATTGAGAACCACCCAGTGGATTCTGCCATCGGAGTAGGCTCTGTAAGTCCTGAAACAGTAAGGAATGTTGGAGTTGTAGATGACGATTCAGACACCACCTTGCAATTGGGGTATTTTATTTCCCTTGAACCTCCCTCCCCCACCTCCCGTGCGAGTGCATCATTTTCTCTTAGTTCATGGTATCAAGCACGTACGAATATATGTTGGAGGATATATGGCAGTCAATCTAATTGAGACCTTTCTGAGTATAGCGTTTATCTAACTTTGCACCCAGATCTTATGAATTTGTTTGACTTTATTTCCGAATCATTTTCTGCCTATTTCCTTTTTTGGTATTCACATCTCCCTTTTGTTGTTCAGGCCCCCGACTGGGGTTCGTCGAAAGAAGACAAGGATGCCTGATGGAGAAACACTAATCAACTGAAAACACAAACCAGCATACCCTTATCTTTCTTGTCTCCTTTCATGTGCATTAGTACCTTACTTGGATGATGTTATGTTGAAGCATCATTCATAAGTGTATTATCTTTTCATGACTTAAAGATGATCAAAACTCTGGTTTAGTTTTAGACAATTTTAAATCACAAAGTTCTGGCTTTCAGAAGAAAAAGAATGTTGTAGTAGTGCCTGAATAATTTTCATAACTCGTGCTTGTTTTTTCTACTTGTATCTGCGTAAGAACATTGGAGGAAATCCAGTGTTTTGCCTCAACAGTAGAAGATAAGAATAGACAGTTTGAATTTTGAAATATTTTCTTTTCGTTATGTTATACAAGAATCTATTCATGTACCAAGAATCATATCTCTACCTATGGCTTGTCTCTCTTAATCGAAAGTTATCGAGCAATTGATTTCTGGTAGCTAAAAGTTGAGAAAATAAAGATTGTGTTTGCTTCTCGATTTCCTGCAGTGAATTCTCTTGCATGATCAATCTTCTCTTCAGTTCCTCAGCGGCCTCTTTGCATCTTCCGGTAGATATTTCTGCTGCTAGGTGCATGGCTGCATCATGTACCTCTCTCATCTCTTTCATGGTGCCTGGTTTTTCATTAATCTCTTTGCAAAATCTAGAATTCAGGCAGTTTTTGTTGGAACAGTTGTTGCCTGCTGATTTTCTTGTTTCCATGCCCGATAATATCGCATCAAGAGCCCAAAATTCAATGCTCTTCATTGCTGAGAGAGCTTGAAGAATGACAGATTCCTTCCCAAAACAAGATTTTTCTTCAATCCCAGATAATAACCCTTCCACTTTGAAATCCTCTACAAGTTTGATACTACTGCATTTTGGTTGGATTTGCAGCAGATTTTCCTTGGCAGAAGAAGGGGAGTTTTCAACCAGGCTCAAAGCATAGAAAAGGGAAATCTTAACCTGTATTAAATGGGAAATGGAAGAGGTAATAGAATTCAACATGTCCATGGCCTGTAAACTGTATTTGAAAAATTCTTCAGTGGCTTCTCCGCCCCATGCCGTCATGGGGTAGTCTATTTCCACCGCCAGCCTAGCAAAATCCTTGTTAATCATATCCAACACCCCAAAACATTTCTGAACCCATTTCAAGGACATAAATTTTGGTCCTTCCACAGGCTTCAACAAGATTTGGGTCGTATAATTCGCTATTTTTGATCGAAAACCGTTTAAAGAAGCCGATAAGGCCCCGGGATTTAAGGTGTGATTTCCCAGCCTGGTGGGTGATTTGAGTGAATGGCCAAGCCTTTGCTCCAAGAGTACCACCAATGCAAGCAAACAGAAATCAGAGAGAGAGAGAGAGAGAGATAGATTTGGTACAAGTTGCTTGTGACATTATTCTTCTTTTCTTTTCTTTTCTTTTTTTCATGATGGGAACCGTAGTCGCTATCCTTTGAGTGCACACTAGGTAAATTCTCGAATTTTGCTTGTGACATTATTCTTGTACTACGTAAACGAGTGCGATAATAATTTCTTTTAAATATATTAATATTTGATAATATTTTGTATTTACATTTTATATATTATATTTGACATAGAATCTTTTGTATTTTAAATTCTGCAAGTTTCCTGTCATTCTTTTTCCTATTTATACATCTTCTCGTAACTATAACAGAATATTCTCTTTTATCTCGTGAATACAAAAAAATACAATTCATTCTCTAATATTTTCTATCATATAGGGCTGGACGTGAGTTGAATTGGATCCAACCCAAATCGGACCTAATATGTTCGATTTGATGACCAACCTATTAACGGTTGAAATTCGACCCAACTCAAACTGACCAAGCTTGGGTCGATTTGGGCTTGTGCCCAATGCAATTGGATAATTTTTTTTGTTGAATTTGGACAACTTTTTAAAAGTCTGAAACCACTTAAAAGTCGAAGTTGTTTTAAAACTATAGATAAAGGAATTCTTTCCGAAAATAATATATAAACATTTTACTTTACAAGTTTTTTGGGAATCATTTGTATCATCATCTGGTCCTTAAGTTTTAGTTACATTCTAAGTCATTTTGTCTTCACTATTCTGTCTATTCAGGTTTTTCTTTTTGGGTAATATATTTTTTGAATATTTTTAAATCATTGGGTTTGGATTTTAATTAATAAAACTAGCTCAGATCGATAAGTTTGAATCGATCGATTTAGATTGATTTTTGCCCGTCCTTTACCATATGTATGAATTCGTGTTGTTTAGGCTAAGGATCGTCTGTAAAAATAAATTACAAAAGCATTTTTAAGAGATTCTTTATTTTTAAAAAGTATATTGTGCAATTTTAATAATATTTATAAATTTAGAGAGAAAAAACTTTTAAACACTCAATGAACTCTTTATCTTTAATAAATAATTTACTACTTCCAATATATTTTTATTATTTTTACCTATTTTTTCTTCAACTTTCCTCCAAATTATTATATTATTTTTCCCTATTTTCTTTGTATATACTATTATATTGAATCAATATATGAAATATTGAAAATTGAAATATTTTAAATGCATCAAATTATAGCTATTTTAAAATGCTAATTTGAAGGATCTTTCGAAACATAATTTTGTAATTACTTTGTTTGGTGAAAATTAAAATATAAATTTTAATCTAAATGAAAGTCAATAATTAATTTCAACTATATATTTTATATAATTCACAATTTTTCAATCATATATGTCATTAATTTTTATCAAAATCTACTAATCCTGTTTGTCTACCATTATTAATTGAAAATAAGTTTTAGAATAATGAATTTTTGGAGAATGTGTGGTTAAAAAATAAAAAAATATTTTGAATTTACATGAAAAAAAATTACTATGAGATCTGTACTAGAAAATATATTAGAAAAAAATATTAAAATAATGATAGACAAAAAAAAAAAAAAGGAGGGAATTGAAGAAGAAGCAAGTGTGACAACATATAAAAGTTTGAAGCAAAAGGATTTGATTGGTTGGGTGGTCAAATAGCGTGTGACTTTTTACTTGGAAGTTGAAGTTTCAATTCAAGTTGATGCTTCGTTTGCACGTTTAGTCTTTAGAAGCAGAATGGAAGATTCACCAATAAATATTTGGGTCGTTATATTATCATCAAAACTTTTATTTTATACACCATATTTTAATTGCAGTTAAATTCTTCAATCTTTGCTTATTATAATAATTATTTCATTAACTTTTTTTTTCAGTCGAATTCTTATATGTCTTGCTGTTGACGATGATTTATATCAAAATATTGTTTTCATGCTTTGAAACGAGGGAAGAATATTTCTTCACACTTTTTATTTATGTATCTTTTAAAATTTGATGGAAAAATAAGTTGTTAACGCCATTTCAATGAATTTTTGGAGATAAAATTATTATCAAATATAAAATGTATTAATTATTGGAAAGTTTGAGGATAAGAATGACGTGACAAATTGACAAGGACATAAGTAATATAATGAGCAAAGATAAAAACATTAAATGTGATTAAAATGTGGTGTAATCAATTATTATTATTATTGTTATTATTATTTTTTATGACCGTGAGTGTTCAGGTCAACTTACGTGCACTTTGACTAATCTCACGGGGCCCTGAAGTTTACAGCTCGAGTACTCATCTCAGTGATTTTGAGGAGACTCGAACTAATGACCGTTGGAGAACAAACTCAATGCCTGACTATTGAACAAAAATGTGGTGCAATTAATAAAAATTGTGGTGTGAATATAATTATCATATGTATTTCTTAAGACACCACGGACGGGGTTTTAGTGTAATTGGACAATATTTTCTAATGTTCATCTATTTTGCATAATATTTCTTTAATTTTTCATTTGGCGTAAAATCCTCTAAAGTAATCAAATCTTGTTAAATGTCTATCTATTGTCCATATTTATTAGTTTCTCAGTTAAAACCAATATATATATACAGCAATTTTGGTTGTCACTTGCAAAAATTCACAGTTGTGTACATAGAATCCGTGATTGGATAATTAAATTGATTGATCACTTTAAGCTTCTGTTTGTTTCCCATTTCTTTCCATTAAAATAAAAAATATAATCGTTATCCATCACATTAAGCCATCAAATTTGAATTTCTATCTTTTATGTGGGACCATAACGATTATATTTTTCATTCTCATTCTTACGAAAAATAAGAAACAAACGGGGTGTTTTTCATATAATTAGGTTGGAGGATACACACAAATTTACAAATTAACTTTAACGTTTGCTACCAACTTGCCCGAGCTGGAATAATGAATTTTTGGAGAATGTGTGGTTAAAAAATAAAAAAATATTTTGAATACTCATTTCAGTGGTTTTGAGGGGACTCGAACTGATGACCGTAGGGGAACAAACTCAATGCCTGACTATTGAACAAAAATGTGGTGCAATTAATGAAAATTGTGGTGTGAATATAATTATCATATATATTTCTTAAGACACCACGGACGGGGTTTTAGTGTAATTGGACAATATTTTCTAATGTTTATCTATTTTGCATAATATTTCTTTAATTTTTCATTTGGCGTAAAATCCTCTAAAGTAGTCAAATCTTGTTAAATGTCTATCTATTGTCCTTATTTATTAGTTTCTCAGTTAAAACCAATATATATAGACAGCAATTTTGGTTGTCACTTGCAAAAATTCACAGTTGTGTACATAGAATCCGTGATTGGATAATTAAATTGATTGATCACTTTAAGCTTCCGTTTGTTTCCCATTTCTTTCCATTAAAATGAAAAATATGATCGTTATCCATCACATTAAGCCATCAAATTTGAATTTTTATCTCTTATATGGGGCCGTAACGATTATATTTTTCATTCTCATTCTTACAAAAAATGAAAAACAAATGGGGTGTTTTTCATATAATTAGGTTGGAGGATACACACAAATTTACAAATTAACTTTAACGTTTGCTACCAACTTGCCCGAGCTCAGTCCCCCCTCAATGGGAGGGGCCTTAGATCAAATTTAAATATGAACCCCTTTGTATGTGCAAAATAAAATTTTAAAAAATAATATTTTTTCTATATAAAAATATTCAAATTACAGTAATAACAATCTAAAACTTTCAAATGTCTATATTAAGTTTATTTTTTTAGAATTTTTCGATTGAAAATCAACAACTATACTATTACAATCAAGCTTATCACATCAATACTTCAAACAATTATCATATGCAATTTGCAATTTTATTTTTTTTTTAAA